TGTATTTGCATATTTGAGCTCCCTCACTCCTAATTCTACAAGACTAAGGTAGGACACCCATCTTCTTGTTGTTGTCTTAGAATTAATTCTTGCATGATTCATGTTTCAATTGTAGAGTTAAGTCTTGTTTTAGTTCATACATGAAGGATAGAACATAATTCATGCATACATGTTTGAATTGATGAGTTTTGAGTTGTATTCATGGTAAAATTGTACATGCATGTTCATAATTAGGCTTGAGTCCACGAATTCATCATGTTCTTGAAAAAAAATGAGTCCAGCTAAACAAGCTTTGAAGGTTGAATTTGATTTGAATCCATGCATGTTTGCATGTTCTTCATATTCTTGAAAATGGGTTTGAATATGGTTTTAATTGACTCACCTTTGGGGCTTGAATTCATAAATTGAGCTTTGAAACTTGTTATACATTGAATTTAGTTATGTTTTCCAGAATTTGGGCCCAAGAGGTCGAGTTTGGAGTGGTAGAATGCTTGGTTTGAGCTTGGGAGGCAGATCTGGAAATTCCAGATTTGGCTTCCTCGCTCGAGCAAAGGATTCCTAATGTGAACATTCTCTCTCATCTGATGTAAACATTCACAATACCTTTTCGAAAAATTCTCTCTCATCTAATGTAGTGATGTGAACGTTCAGAACATGTGAACCTTCTTATTTTTAATTGACAACACATTAAAAATCACGTTCATTATATTTTTAATTGACAACATGCAAGGATGTGAACGTTCATAACATGTGAACATTCTCTCTCATCTAATGTAGTGATATGAACGTTCACATTCGTATGTTTTATTATGAATATTCACATCATGTAATTGGCAACACAATAACAAAAATTCATTTCAAATTAATGTGAATATAATGATATGAATATTCATTTCAATTACATGATGTGAATATGCACATCATGTAATTGACAACACAATGACAAAAAATCATTTCAAATTAATATGAATTTAATAACAGTCAACATATTGATGCATGAGAACTATCAAAACATAATGACAATCAATATTAATAGGGGCAGGAGAGATTGAGAGTATTTTGGTCTTCTTATCTCAAATAAGATCTAATAGAATAATAAAAAAGAATATGAATTGAATAGAATAAAACTCTTAAAAAGAGGGTTTATCAAAAAAAAGCTCCCTAGTCAAATTGGGTATTGATTTGGTTGAGTATTGATTAGTCTGACCATAGTCAATAAGGAAAGTTCTGAACAGAAAGCAACAACTCTATTCTTTATTTCCAAATCTCTTGTTCATGATCTCCTACTTGATTTAATTAATGCCAAGTGTAATCAAGTTGGTTGCTAACAAACCATCGATAGAATTGAAAGAAAAACAATATCAAAATTGTACATCTCTACTTGATTCTCCCCGTCGAACATTTATGGCAGACATGTTGACAATCAAAGAATGGAGATTGAAGCAGGGTCACAATAAGGGGGCAGCGTGATGTCGACGATGATTGCAACACAAGACGTCATCTTTCTCTTCACGAGCAATGATTTATAACTCTAAATTTGAAACTCTAACAATGGCTCTAATGATGTGGCATGGAGGAAAAAAAAAAAAACACATACATCAAATCATTCATGAGTGAGGCCCGCTACCACATAAGTAAAGCTCTCATTAGAGCTCTACTTTTAATGCTCTTAAACATTTTTGCTCTCTTCACCATATGGTGATGGGAGACGGCGACTTTGCAGCCAGATAATGACAGTAAGGTGGCTGGATATTGGGGTGCTTTTATGATTAGGGTGGAAGATAATAAGGGTTTTTTTGGGGAAGAAGATGAAGTTAAGGGAAAAACTAGATTTTTTTTTATCATATTTGGCCTTTTAAATTGATTTACTTTCTTGTCAACTTAAATTTATGGAGCTTGAGGTACAAACTCTGTCAATTTGAACAAAAGTATTGACAGTATGGAAATAAATTGCAAATGACCAAAACCATAAAGGGATAATTGGATATTTTTAAAATACAGGGGTAAAGTGCTCTACGGGCAAATTACAAGGGAGTTAAATGAATTTTACCCAATTATGAATATTTACTAATCAAAATTTTTCCTCTAGTTGACTTAATAAATAAAAAAAAGTATACAAATATCCTCTAATATCAAAATGGAATTATCATGCAACTCTCATTTTCACCCACCCATCACCCAATCTCTCTTTTTACGCCACTACTATATTCTCCAAACCTTTCTTGGCGACACAATAAATACTTGTAACCAGTAATGACGGTGGTATTGATAGAGAGTGGAAGAGAGTGGTGCTATAGTTGGGCAAAATGGTGTTACTAAAATGAGAAATAAGAAAAGTGAGATAGGAAAAAATAAATAAATAAGGTGTTTAGCTTCATAAAGGTTAATTTAAGTGATAATTATCCAATTTTAGATAGTTGAAATAAAAATAAAATAAAATAACTGAAAAATTGGTCAAGCAGATTCTGAGCCCAAAAATGAGCCTCCATGGCCAGTCCGGCTCCGCAGCCCAAAAATGAACCTGGGTTGAATCCAATTTTTGTATGGTTTTGGGGATTTTAGGTTTAAAAGGCAAAAACAAGTTTGGGATAATTTAAAATTAAGCAGGACCTGTTTTTAAAATTATTTTTAGCAATAAGATAAACTAATTTTAATACTGTTGGATATATTAGAGGTGGAGTTACAAGTAAGTCCTATGTATCGGACTTATTTATCATAAAGTGTTACTCTGATTTAAAAATATTTTTAACAAAATATAATTCAAATACTTATACTTTTTATATCATATTTCAATAGAAACTAATAAAAATAAATTAAAAATTAAACAAAACTCACAAATAAAAGTAAAAACGTCCCAACTATTTATCACTTTAATAAATTTATTAGTACCAAATAATCATTCCAAAAATATGAAATACATCTAAAAAATCTCATTTTTTTAAATTATTAAAACAAGAGACAAATACATTAAAAAAATAATAATAATCATTAAGAACTTATGAATAAATAAGTCCGATCAAGAAGATGTGTTAATAATTATCCTACATGGTATATGGGATTAGATAGGGATACGGGAATGCTATTGCACCATAAAGCACAGCATCCCTGTTGTGATGCTCAATGGGAGCTTTTTTGGAACATATTTTGATGATCTGAATTGTTTATATTGTAAGGTTCGTCAAACATACTATTCATGAAAAAAGTATGTTAATCAAATATCAATAGTTTCATAATCAAGTCCTTATTATTTTTTAAAAAATTATCAAAACATATTAATTGTTTATTTTTGTAAAAACAAATGTGGTCTTGTTATGGACCTATAGATGTTCAATTAACCTAATTTTTTACATTAATGATTTACTCGACGAATCCTACAATCTGAATGGGTCGAATCATCAAAATATTTTTAGGAAAAGCTCTCGATGAGCCTCATAGCAAGCTGCTGTGCTATAAGCATCCCCAATTCCGATTAGATAGGTAACAAAATTCTATCCATTGATTAAGAGGTTGTTTGGGATGACCTAAATAAGTGCACTTTTTGTCTTTTTATGAAAAGATGTGCAGAAAAGTAGAGAGATAATATGATGAAAAAAAGATAAAAAGTGTATACTTATTTAGGATAGCCAAACTTGGCCTAACTAGGGAATTCCAAGATTAAAATCTTTGATCAAACCCTAATTTGTTTATATTTAAGTTGGGAGGTAGGTTACAAGAACGATAGTGAGAATGGCTGAGACATTTGGCCTCGAGGATTTGATCTTGCTACTTGGTAATGGCATATATGATTTGAGGTATCGACTTCGCAATATAAATGATTTGATCTTTGAACTTGACCGATCATCATGGAGTCCGGCAGAGTTTATGGAGTTGGATATTCATCCTGTCATGAATGAGTTTAGGCTTAAACTTCATCTCACTGAGTGTAAATTGGTTGACGTTTTAAACCAACAATATCTCGCCCAACAGAAAATAGTAGATGATCTAATCAAACAGGAGAAAACTGAGGCTGCTCATGCCGAAGACTCTATCATTATGGATGTGTTTATGAATGAAGGTTTGGAGTTGTCTTCCATTACTCGTAAAGTTTGTAGAGACAAAGAAAGGCAAAGAAAGTTTGTCAAAAAGAAATCAAGGTATTTGATGAAAAAAGCAAGAAAGGTAAAAGTGATTGAAAATTAGGGTTTGTAGTATAAAGCTTTAATAATATTGACATGAATTAGTAGCTTCTGATTTATGTTTTATCATATTATATTATGTCCTCAACTACGTTTAAATGTAATTTTGAAGCATCCATGATATGTTTTCATTTGTGTCCTTACACTTTGATTGGTCCAGGAACAGCTTTTGTTCTATCTATAATTTTACTTTTTTATTATTATTGTTTTTGATTTTTTCAAAGTACATGTATGCTTAAATTAGATGTATGAAAATCTAGCAGTTTCAAAACACTGCCTGGATTTTGAATTAATCTATAATAGTCATAAAATTTTATTGTATTTGTCAAAAAATAGAGGATTATTTTTTATATTATACTTTTTCAATACAAATGTAATAAAATCATGTAATTATGAATATCAAATTATTCTAAATTTTTTCTTAGATGTTTTATATACCATGCCCCACAAAACAAATGGCACATATGGCCAAAATATAACCCCTGGTAAACTAAAACATGTAAAAAAAACAAATAACATTTGACATCATTTGCCCATGTATTTTCTGTATTCAATAAATAAATAACAAAAAAATAAACTTAAATAAGCCCACCAGACAAATCTAATAAAATTCCATTTACCTATGTATTTTCTGTATTCAATTTTATATTTTCTTTTTGTATTATTAGACTTATTATATGGAATATGGATTGTTTTAGCTGTTCATGATCCCAAAATACAGTGTTTTCCAATTAGACCAGATGGAGTCCCTTTCTCATAAAATAAATCTCCACTTCCATCCCAAAAATAAATAAACACAATGAGGAAATGCAATTAACAACTTTCTGGTCAGAATCTAATATCATGTACTGTATTTGTTTTCAAGATGTGGTGGTTCTAATTCTCAATCAATATATATGTTGGTTTCCAACAAATTAATGTACATCATTTTAACACCCATCAAAACTAGAAACCACCCAACAACATGAAACAAGATAGCAACCCCAGTTTCCTCCTCCTACTTGTCTTCCAATCCAATCCTTTCAACAGGGTTGTTGTTCCTCTCTCTTGATTGCTCTGATTCTAATACTCTTACTCCTCCTCTGCTCTAACCATGTCTGAGTCCCTCAACAATTTCCTATTTACAATTTTAGAAGATTTTTGCTGAGCTAGCTTAGAGAACATGGTCCTACTACTTCTTCCTCTTCGCGCTTTTCCACAGATGTGAGGCGTCGTACTAATCTATCTAAGGCTTCCTTCATCCACCAATGCTGACAAACCTCCCTTGCCTCAGTCGCGGTCATCTAAACAAACACAAATGATAGCTTGTTATATACTGTACTATTTATTATCAGTTTTTCTTTATCAATCAATCAAATGATCAAATTTTACACGACCAACGTATGATCATACCCATATTCTTTGGCGAATGTCTTTTTCGGGCCAAAAATCAAGTTCCTCCTGAACAAGCAAGGGGAACATGTGCCCTTCATAGTATTCATCTTGGGTTTTGCTCTTGAAACACCATTTACCCAATGTACCCTGCAAAAATTAAAATAAAATAAATAAATTATCATTGTATATTCAGGAAATGGAAAACTAAATTGGCATTAAATATAGTAGTTATAAGCAGTACCAAAATTCACATTCATAATGAAATCTAGTGAAATGGAAGGTAGAATGAACAAATCTCAATGCCAACAACAAGAAGAAGATATAGAGTACTTTAAACTGTATCTAACATGGACTCCAAATTGTTGTAAAATCTTGCAACAATAGTACTTTAGTATTTTTGAAGGTGCATTTCACACGCGCACACACTCCAAATTTGTATAAATTAATATGAAATATTGCAAGATTTATAGATGAAGAAACCTCTAGAGTGCCAACAACTCCAGCTTCCTCCTCTGTCTCTCGCAAAGCTGCGTCTACTATGGATTCGTCTGCTTCCCAACCTCCCTAATATTCACAATGGTGGGGATAATCTTGATCACATATATATAAATTATATCACATTTTTTAAATGAATTAGCACAATTAACTCATGGATCTATTTTGACTAATCATTCTGAAAAAAAATAATTAATTGAAGTAATCTGATTAGATTAATTTACCTTTGGGAACAACATGCCTTTGCCTTCTCGCTGTGAAGTAATGACAAGAACTTCTAATTTTTCCTCATCCCCAATGGGTGTTTGACTTGTTACTCTGTATCTATATGGAATGCATCTGCAAAATATCACAAACAAAAAGGGTATATCACATCACCAAACAAGGACCTCAAAATTATAAATCAATTTTAGAAAAAAAAAAAAATCATAAATCCCCAAATTTCAGAAAGAAAGAGAATTGATGTCTATCTTTCTTCTTTTTGCCCTGTAATCATCATGGGGTCATATCATCATGCAAGATTTGTATATCTCATAGATTAAGGCCTTCCAAAAAAAATTTTAAAAAAATTATAATATAAATTATGCTCTATTTATCTTGTCTTTGCCATCATACCCATCTGAAATGAGCTTCTCAAATTTGTTTGGATTCCATGTGAATCCAAAACTCTCACCAAAATTAATTGATTTTATACAATTTCAATTTCTTATTCCTCCAATTCATTCCTTTTTCATTACAAACATACTTGACCATGTATGTATAGACGAGAGAGAGAGAGAGAAACGAACCCAACGACTTGGCGACGGCCTTTGTTGTAACGCTGCAAATCCCTTCCAGTGCGAGAAACCAAAGCTACCATTATCTTCTTTCCTCAAAGCTCTGTTTTTCTTCTTTTTTTTTTTTTTTTTTTTTTTTTTTGGTTGGTTTTGTTTTAAAGAATTGATGAGGAACAAGCAGATATTTTTTTTTTTTCCTATCAAACTCAAAAAAGATATGTGTCTATGAGTGTATATATACGTGAGTATATATAGAAAACTCAAGAAAGAAGCGAGAAATCCGACGACCCACTTTGAAATTGTATTGAATCAACAGCTGTTAAAACTACCCAAATCAGAATGGGGGTTGGGTTTGATTGCTTGTTGTTTCTCACTCTCCTTTCTGTATTTTGTTTGTATTTTGACGAGTTTGAGTGGTGGACGGTGATGTGCAATGTTAAAGAGATAAAAATGACAACCCTCCCAAACATCCCTTTTTATAGCCAATAATATAACACATCTTCTCTCTAAACACCGAATAAGGATCTCCCCCTTAGTTTCTTATTCATTGAGTTATTGGGTTCATTTTTAAGTTCAATTTTAATAATTTGTATTGTTCATATTTTAAGATTTGTTAATTATATCATATTTGTAAAAAATTAAATTAATTAAATATCAGAAAGTATTGTATTCGGATCATCAAATTAAAAATTATTTTTTTAAAAAAATTTAATAAACAATTTTTCGAACATATACTTTCTGATATCCGATCAACTTAATTTTTTTTATAGGTATGATATAATCAACAAATCTTAAAATGTGAATGGTTCGAATCATCAAAATTGAGCCTGAAAGTAGACCCAACAACCTAGCAAGTAAGAAGTGAAGTAAAAAACTTATGAAGGAAATCCTGAGCGGTAAACACCACCCACAACAAGAGAGAGAGAATCATTTCCTTTCTCTCTCCTTACTTCTCCACTTCATAGGTTAGGTTATTGAGTTTATTTTTAAATTAAATTTTGATAATTTGACTGTTTACATTTTAAGATTTATTAAATATATCATATCTATAAAAAAATCAATTTGAAGTATATCAAAAAAAATTTAAAAATTTAATAAATAATTTTCTGAACACATAATTGATTTTTTATAAATATAATATATTCAATAAATTTTAAAATATAAACGATTTGAATTATCGAAATTAAGCGTAAAAATAGGCCTAATAACTTAATGAGTAAGAAGACAACAAGGGAAAGAAAAATGACTTGTAGCTCGAATTTTGACTGGCTCGAATGACCTGAACTGTCCAAAACGACGTCGTTTTGAGCAGTGTTTTTTTTTTTTTTTTTTTTTTTTTTTTTTTTCATTCCTTACACAGACAGAGAGAGAAGAGAAGAGAAGAGGAGAGAGAGAGAGAGAGAGAGAAGAGAGAAGAGAAGAGGCGATCGACGGTGATGGTCGGTGATGGTGGCGGTGATCGACGGCCTAATCTCCTCTTTCAAACTTTTTTTTTTTTTTTAATTGATCTGGATTTGATCTGGATCTGAAGATTAGTTAAAAAAATAAAATTTGTTGATGATGAAGATGATGATGATGTTGAAAATGATGAAGATCTTGTTTTTTATTATTATTATTTTTGTTTTGTTCTTGATGTTGTTCTGAAAATGAAAGAAAAAATAAATAAAAAATTGTTGGCAATTGTTGGCTGATGTGTTGATGATGATGATGTTCTTGATTTTTTTTTTCTTGATTTTTTTTTTTGTTCTTGATGTCAAAGAATTGGTAGATCTATCAAAGAATCAGAAATCAAAGAATTTGTAGATCTATCAATTTCTGATTTTTTTCTGATCTTCGCAATGATGATGATGATGTTGTTGCAATTTGTTGATGTTGATGAAGATGATGAACAAGATCTGATGTGTTGATGATGATGATGTTCTTGATTTTTTTTTTTCCTGATTTTTTTTTTGTTCTTGATGTCAAAGAATTGGTAGATCTATCAAAGAATCAGAAATCAAAGAATTTGTAAATCTATCAATTTCTGATTTTTTTCTGATCTTCGCAATGATGATGATGATATTGTTGCAATTTGTTGATGTTGATGAAGATGATGAACAAGATCTGCAGCAGACCCATCTTCTTCTTCTTTTTCTTCTTCTTCATCAGAAAAATGCAAAAAAAAAAAAAAAAAAAAAAACCACATCAAAGCGACGTCGTTTTGATGTCGGGCCATTCAAACCACGCTAATTTCGAACTACGAATCGAAACTGCAAGGGAAAATAAGGAGAGGATTGATTCGAGGGGAGGGCCATTGTTGTCATTTTCCGAGTGGGGATATGGGTGGCCCATGGATGCTCCAAAAAGGGAGTACGTGTTGCTGACTCCTCACGTGTGACTCCAGATTCCCTTCATTTCGGCCCTTATCAAACTCCAAAGAGTAACCTATATTATAACAAAAAGTTATCCTTTGTGTTGTTTAGCTAGTAAGAGCTGGTTTAAAAATCAATTATTTTAGTTAATTTTTAAATTTTTTATAAAAAAAATATGTAAAAAAATAAAAAAATTATGTGATTGAATGTTCTGATTTTTTTATCATTTTAGCCAAAAATTTAACATGCCAAACGAGAAGTTATTTTGTGGTCTTAAGACATAGTCACGTGGTGTTCCGTATGAGTTGTGATTAATGGAGATGGTAAAATTTATAATTTTATGTTAAATGATTGAGAGGATATGATAATTTATGATTGGTTAGGAATATAGTCACGCGGTACTCCTGAACCACTACATTTGGGATTAATTTTTTATTCTTTTTTCAACTTTTTGTAGAATTAAAAAATTAATGATTTTAAGATGTTTTTTTTTATAAAAAAAAAATTAATGAAAAAATTGATGGCATTTATCTTTTTTTAGTTGAGGACAATCAACTGAGTAATTTTTAACTTTTGACTTTTTTAAAAGTCATCAAACAAAAGTGTTAGATAAAAATCATTCAGTGTGTTTGGTTTAAATTTTTTAGATTAAATTTTTTAATTTTGGTGTTTTTTTTAGTGAATATTTTTAAAATTTTAAACATTTTTTTTAAACTTTTTTAGATGCACCTTACTTAGATGTATCTAAAAAGTAAAAAATTTGTGAAAAAATATTTTAAAAAATTAATAAATACATAAAAATATAAAAAATATACTGAATTTTTTTTTTTTGCGTATTTTTGATATTTAGTAAATTTTTTAAAGGTTTTTTTCACAATTTTTTTTTTTACTTTTTTAGGTATATTTATGTTAGGCATGTCTAAAAAGTAAAAAAAAAAAAAAATTACTTAAAATATTTAAAAAAATTAGTAAAAACAAAACAAAAAAAAAGCACAAAAAATAAGAAAATAGAATTTTCTGAAAAGTATTTTTTTTTTGGAAAAGATGAACCAAGGAAAGTAATTATGGTTATATATTACAAATAGTTAGGTTATGAACATTACAGTCATAAATTTTTGTGATAATCAAAGTAATCATTTTTTATGTTTTGTTATATATCATATGATTATTTTATAATTATGAAATAAAATACAATATACAATTTTTTCAAAAACGTGTATACTAGAATTTCTTCTATAAATATGACTTTGAGATTTCATAACTCATATATGTTTGAGGAGAGTCATCAAACCAAACGACCTAATAAATAAGAAATAATTGCTCAAAATTGGTGGTGAATAAAATCCTATGTGGTATAATAAAATTAGAACTAAAAATGAATTGAGAGTCGAGTTGAGTTTTAATAATTTAGTTCGTTTAATAATTCTATCTGAAATTATTAATATTTTTTTTGTGTATTCAAGTATATTATTTAGTTAAATTGTCTTTGGAAATTTATTAGAGACGGACACACGCAAACAAGAAGTTCACCTCATGCTCCTCATGTCTCCCCGGCACCAATGTTTTAAAAATCGAATCGATAAGCGAACCGGAAAAGGGACCGGGTGGATGGGTTACCGGTTCAACCGTCAAGTCAAAGCGGCTGAACCGTGACGTTATAATTAATATTATATAATTAAAAAATATTACTATAAATTATAAATAAATAAAAATATATATAAATACTCAAATAAAAATAAAAATTATTGCATAGTATTTATTAATAATATTTAATAAAGTCATAATTGATAAAAAAAAAGAAAAGAAAAAAAAGTCACTTGTTTTAAAGAAATTAAATTTTTTAAACATTCCCTCCAAACAAATTGATTGAATGCTAGATTTAATTTTGGATGGAAATCAAATTTTCAACTCTTCCCCCAATCAATATGTTTCAAATAACTTGATTGAATCCCATATAGAATTTTGTAGGTTCTCTTTGAAAAATCTTTTCCTATAAATAGGAATAGACTTTCATAATCTTCTCAAGCTTTCAATGAGACTCTTCCTTATGAGAGGAGACTCTTGAAGCAAGAATTTTTAGTCAAAATTTTGAAATATATATATAAGAAAGAGAAAGAAAGAAAAAAAAAAAGGTCCGACCCTCCAAACCCAGACCGGGTCACCAATTTTGCCAGTTCAACCGCTGGGTCTTCCGATTTTTCATTTCTACACCGGTTTTGGATGAAGTCCGGTTTTAGGGGGTTGACTGGATTGAAACAAGGCTCGATTCCCAGTCCGACCAGCCGGTTCGATCTGGGTTTCAAAAAAATTGCCCGTCACCATGGGCTATGAAATATTTGTTATTCTTTCCTATATTATTTTTTTTTATCATAAAAGCATTATTTTTTATTTTTATTATTTGATTCTCAAGTTATACGTGTAATTTTAAAAGTAACGTTTGGTTTGTGTTTGGAATTATGATTTGAATGTGAAATTATATTTTGAGTTTGTGAATTTTAGAATTATGATTTGAAAAAAAAAAATGTGTTTACTTATGAGTTTTAAAAAGAGTTTTTAATTGAATTTTGAATTAAGTGTTGAATTTTTGAAATGAGTTTTGAGTTTGTGAAAAGTTGTTTAGTTATGAGTTTTGAAAAGAGTTTTCCAAACTTAATTTAAAAACTTATAATTCATAACCAAACACATAAATCAAAAAACTCATAATCAAACTCCTTTTAAAATTCAATTCAAAAAAATATTATTAAAAAATAATTTTTTTTGTTT